CCATCGATGAGACACGGTAAGCCGACCTGATCATGTCAAGAAGTTGAAAGTCATGTTGTTATTTCAGATCGGTCGATTCACGCGACAGTATACCCCATGCGATACGTAATCTTCCACACTCTGGCTGGGTGTCAATGAAGCCAGAAAAGAGAAGCGCTGGAAGTCGGAAAATGAAGGTAATTTCACGGCTTGAGGGATGAGATACAAGATATCATCAATGAAAGAATTTTCAGTGGGTAAACTACTACGCAGTTCTGAACTCCGTTGCCTTCCAGTTGTTCCCTGACGAAAAGCCACATTCAGCTGCTGTCATGTCGATAGATACCCGGTAAGCTTTGTTACTCTCCATGGAAGTATCTATTTTAGTGTTTCCTTATTTGTCCTATCTGTCTTGACTTCATACAACACTATTTCTTTCCTGTTCCCCTGCTTTACCCAGCGATTTCTCAGGATGGCGAGAGTTGCCGAAAACTGACATATCCTCTCACGTCAGTCTTTAGTGCGTAAGACATCACGCGCTATTGCATTTTTACTCTAAGAGAGCTTCCATACTTTGCGGCAGAGTTCTGAGCGTTTGTCAACATAGTGAGTGACTAAGAAAGTATATAGGTATCGCCAGCGTAATAGGCATCTGCCAGCGGCGCTCAAAACGCTGGATCAATACCTGTAGTTTCGTAGTCGCTCAAAGCTGCTGCAAAGTATGAACGCACTCTTACTCATGCTATGTCGCTGTTGCGTACGTGTTTCGTCGGTTTCGTGTCTGTCGCAGGGTCTTGCATTATCTAGTCTCTTGACACATGATTTTTCGTATTACGTTTCAGTATTTTACCTTTTTTCCTTCCCACCCCCACTTCCTAATCGGAACTTATACTCACCGCCTTACAATTCACGCTTCGAATCCTGAATTATTCTAGCCAACTATGTCATGTTCGGTTGGTTACGGCAGCCGATGTCCGTGTTGCTGATGCGGAACAGATTAGAAGGATATTCCATGTGAGTTATGGCATTGCGGCATTTGTACCTCCGGAAGTCCAGCCTTTGAAGCTTCTATTAGATGAGAATAATTCTTACTTTCAGATTATGTTCGATGACCGTGATAGTGGCTCTACAAGTCGAAATGCCTCAACAAATGATTTGAGCGTCACGTCGGCTTCACAGAAAGATGTAAGTGAGAAGAGAGCTTTCAGTGGCCTCATCTGTTTGATCAATCTGGTCTTCATGCTACTTTATCCTTGACTTTTCATCATAGGAATCCTGGAAGAGCCATGACTTCCAAGAGTTGACGTTCCATATGAGCACCTACTGTGATATATGTAGCAAGAAGCTATCCGATCTCGTCCGACCACCACCAGCTTATGAATGCAAAAGTATGTCTTTGCTGCCAGAAGTAACTTTGGTTCCAACTTCACTAACTATTTTTACTTCATTAATGTGCGTCTGCATTTGGTTCTATTGTATGTCTCTTTTTAGACTGCCGGTTGAAGATTCACAAAGATCACGTCAATACACCGCAATTGACTGTCTGTAAATGTGAGTTTACTTTTTAGGAATATGTTTGTAACGCTTAATTCGCTTGAATTTGCTCTACGCGAAATCTCTGGGATAAATACTCGCTAGCCAAGCTGGCGCTGCTTCTAGTACAGTCTCCTGCTGCGGATAAAGGGGCGTGTCGGCGAGGCTGTTTGGCGCGAACGACCTCACTGACACGTGTTCTCCACCAGGACACGCTATCGCGTGGTGATCATTTCCTGGAAAATGTGACCCCCGCCTAATTCTATCCTCAAATACGACTATACGGGGAGAGCGGGGGGGGGGGGGTATATAGCCAATGTGAAACAGGAAAATTTCTCAGATTTTGCGTAAACTCCTACCAGTTTCCGAAATTTCCTTCTGGTTTTTCCTGAAATTTTACTGTTGAGCAAGGGGGAGAGGTCATCAGGATTTACCCATACGACCACCTTTCCCCCCCCCCCCTTTATACCGTCCGTGAAACAAGAGAAATCAACTACCAAAAAAATTGTTCTCTGACCAAATACGACCCCCCTCGCAGTCAAATACGACCCCACCCCGTTGTGATCATCACAACGATGGCGTGCCCTTATCTCCACTAGTCATCGGGGCGGGCAAGCGACAACAATTGCGACGGAACAAAATTCATACCATCGATATTGATTACAGTCTTGCTTCGTCGCTTGCGTGGCTACGTTCCGCGTCCCACCATCCGAGGCGAGCAAGACTGTACTGACTCATAGGCGTCTGAGGGAGGACAAATGATTCGGCTGTTTTTTTATAGAGTCTGTGCCTCAATATTCTGATATTTTAGACACTGGTGTTGTTCGAGAATGGTTATTGATGGCGTTGACAAAAGAAGAATGCAATCAATGGGTGAGCCTGCTGCAGAGAGTGATGGCGACGCAGAGCTCCAATCCGATATCCCGTGTGTCGTCGAAAATTTCGCCCACCAACCGTTCGCACTCACACGCATTCAGCGCCAGCATCAATCTCGCTCGCTCTCGCCGGGTGGGATTCGCGTTGGAATCATGCCAAAGTTCTTTGTTGAAAGCCTTTCATCTGGCTCTAGAGAAAGGCAGAATTTCTAACGCATTTAGTATCGATGATATTTGATGTGTGAATCATCCCACCCGTTCGGTGCGAAGTGTTTGATCGAGCCATTTTTGCTGTTATTGATCGTTAATCATTCGTGTTTCTTTTAAACAATTTACTGTTGTATGTTGTTCATAACGTTTTACGTTCTTATTCTTTTACCTCGTACTGGACTTATCATTTCCATAATCGCCTACATTATCGATTAACCACCTGTGTGCAATGTTGTGCTCTTACACCGTATGGGTTTCCGGTTCACTTTCTTTTCTCATTCCCGAAGGGAGTCACTTAATAGCGACGATATCGCCTTCTTCACTGTTGAAGTTCTCCATATCATCATTAGCCCAATATACACCAAGCAAAATCTTCACCTTCTCGACGCTGAAATGATATGCAGTATAGCTAGGCTTTTAGAAATCCGATCCATCGGCATAAGTTCCTATGTTCTCATGTCAGCTATATTGCTTCTTCTTTTCTATTTTGCCCGAATTGTTTTACGATAGATTATTTGTACATTGAACTGGTCGTAATTAAGAAAACTGTTAACAAATGTGATCATATCATTATATGACTGTACCTATAGGCAGTAAATGTTAAGATCTATTGGTTGGTGTTCACAATGCAAAATCGTAAGAAGCGATAACTATATTACACATTCTGGGATTTTATTTCAAAAGAGTGTCACTCACAGCTGGACAAGTAACTTGTTAAACGCCTCGGTAAAAATGGGGTTCTGTGTTAAGGCTTCTCAGAAAGGTATGCGCCACGGTGGCGGGGAGTGTCCCCGAACATTTTCGGGAATTTTTAGATCATTTCGACTGTCTCAAATGGATTTTCAATGTTACTTCATTTAGAGTTTATGCCGAATGTGCAAGGATCTTTTTAGGAGAAAAAATAAAATCTTATTCATGATATCAAATTTGGTATGGCTTTCGCTGTACCACTAAAAATGCACTTCTACCAGTAAAACCCGGTGCAAAAATTGACGCTTGGGGATTATGCGATTTACCTCTTTGCCCACACTGATACTTGGGGTGTCTACTACTCATAAGTTCGAAGCCTTTCTGGCTATACGGCTCATGGCTGCTCGTTTGCAATTTGTTTGTTAGTGAATGAAATTTAGCACGTTACGGACCGCGCGACACTTATAGTGGGTCATACTTATTTCCTCCCCGCGTTCATTTCCAACGCATCCATCATTCTTCATGCGCTGAATTGGATCAGAACACGTTGTTTCAGGTACACAATACACATATCTCTTAGAAAAGCTTGAAAGACACATAACAGTGTTGGCGGTTCGAAAATTAGAAAAATTATGCGGAGATCCTCGAACAACGGCGGTCCGGAATGTGTTGACTGAGCTCTAAAGTACCTCTTTCCATCATAGGTCCACATACGCCACTTCTATATACATACTAGTTCCGTCGTTCTGAAATTAAATTGAGTTTTGTGAGACCTTCCTTGTTATTGGTTGCTCTGAAGCAGAAGTTTGACCAAAGTGAAAAATAGTAAATTGAAGTCGGTTATATATATATATATAGATTAGGTATAGTCGTACAAACTCTCGATCGAGATTCTCAAGGCGGTGACTTTTACAGTATTTTACCAGGTAGTGGCTTCGACTCACCTCCTTGCTGGCAAAAATAATAAAGTGTGATGTAAAAGGCAATATTTTGAGAGAGCGACCAAAATGGACGGCTGATAGGAGAAATACTGTCGAACAAAGGAGAAAAATCTGAGGAATACATAGTTACTCCCATGGTAAAAATTCCATTAAATAAAAACATTTCAAATTAATGCAGGAATCTGTCATTGAAATGCTGAAAAAATGCTCAAAAGTTTGAGCTGACGAATACAGGAGACCCGTGGCTCGGATCTTGATCTTCTCAATATTCCTGCCAATACTTTATGCATCAAGTCAACGATTTTCCCAGTTAATGAGAAAATCTGACCGAAGTATTGTACCACATATAGATTTGCTTAAGAATCTTCTGAAATGCCCCAGTGACGAAATTCTTTCACCATGAAAGCAGCATAAAACTGAATCAGTAGTGTCTGTGTAACGAGAAATAACGTATTACGTTTCCTTAGACTAATCTGGGCATATTACTGCTCGATAGTAGTTGTAGGAGGCAGAGGCGGTCTACTGGCGAGTCGCACGGTTACCATGTGCACGATCCGAGGATCAAATCCCAGATCGACTCCCGCCCAGGCTAACGAAGCCCCTGGGGACGGTAAATTGGTGCCAGATTTGTTTGGGAGGATAAGAACACTGATCTGTCTTCGGCTAGCCCCGCAAGTCATTGTATAGGCCATATCGCATTTACAATAGTCACTGCGCATCTGAATGAAGAGGAATGTGTGCCGCATCCACAACGGTTGAGTTATCGAACGGCAGGAGTTGTGAACCATTCGGCTTATCGCATTCATTCTGTTCTACTTAATAGTTTTTAGGAAGTTACCGCTGTGATCTGCACGTTCTTTGTAGTAGCCGTCACCCATGATGATGCCGTATTATAAAAAGGAAGGAATAAGTGATTGTAGGAATTACGACACGAACGAAGATATTCTGGTTGCATCCTGTATTTCATAAAAACAGTAGACGATGGCGGAGGTACATAGCTTAATGGCCTCGGCGTCCTATGATCAGACGGTGCGAATCTGGGACGTTGGTTCAGGAAGGCATGTAACGACAATACCTCATTCTGATTCTCAGGTACGTTTGAAATCAAATATTTCTTCTCTTGGGTGAGGATTTGTGCATGGACATGCGCTTTTACTGTCACCTCTTGACGCTATTCTCGTTTCTAGTTCGTTTCGAATTTTATCATTCATTCCCGTTTACAATTTGGTTTTATTTTTTCAGTCTGATCTAATCATTTTTTGTATTTTCCTCCTAAATTTTCCCCCTAAATTGAAAATTTTGAAAAACGAGCAGCGGTTCAGGTTTCTATCAGATAGCACCACCAGTCGTTATAGAATCGTTAGCCCTAAGTTATTTTTCGTGTGAGGAATTTGGTGTTTCAAGCGCCTTGTCCTGTTAATTCCTGAAGTCCGCAAGCTCTGAATTCTGATATGGTTGTCATTGTCCTTTAATATCTTACTTATAATTGAAACTGTTAAGGTGAATGCAATGGCTTTCACGCCGAATGGCTATCAGCTAGCTGTCGCTGCGTTTCAAAAAGTGAAAATTTATGATATGACGTCTTTGAAACCCTCGAATCACCTAACTCCTCTGGTGTGCTTTGAGCAAATTATGAAAAATGTTACGGCAATAGGTTTTGAGGTATGTTTTGTTTCAAATTGTATTCGTTCCCTGCGAAGAGGATAATTTAAAAGTGTTTATGACAGGCGGCTAGACAAGTCGTAGGCATTTTATATGTGAGCGTAGAAAACCAGTCAGAGCAGTGACGTGTGGCAGCAGATAATGAATGAACCTGGTTTTGTTATTCAGTTCCTGCCTCAAAGACAGTCACTCGCTCAAGCATTCTGTAGATCTGTAGACGTCCTTCTTTGTACAATTAGTCTAGCCCTCAGTATCTATGGTCATCCCAGTTTCGCGCTTCAAATATTTAACAACGGCGGTATGGCCCTCATAAGTGGCAGTCCTGACGCCTCCCTGTTTGCTCCGCCCACCAATACTCAAGCGCTGTTTTCCGCCGAGTACCGTTTTTACGCCGTGCTTTTCGTTTTTTTCTTCCACTGCTAGGCATTTTCAACATTGACTGACGCGAAGAAACGATCTGTGAAATAGAGGCGGCAGCTTTGTCGGCATAAAACGAGCAGGTCTGGACAAATCGTGCAGTGAGGCGGCCAGGAAGTCCTCACGTTGTTTTCCTGCTTTTTTTTCTCTGGAGAATCATTTGGCGACTATAGGTTCGCTAATGAACACCGCTCCGCACAATGTACAGTCGCTGGGTTTATCTCTACCTCTTTCTAGCCTAGCTAGGTATTAAGTATTTTTCCAGCCAATTTATGGCCTACCAAAATGAATATATACAAGCACCTTTGTTCACTGGAATGGCAGGGCGTGTAAGGGTAGGGGCTGGGTTTAGCGCGACGCCAGCCCGTTTTTTGCCCAGTGTTATCGCTTGTCCACTCCCACAGGTGCTAGAGAGCGTGTCAACGCCGCGCCAGATTCACTCCTGCCGACGCCGCCGCCAGATTCTCATGTCCTCCGATCATTCTAGCACATGCAGCGAACAAAAGGGTAGCTCGAATACCAACAAGAATGGTCCAATTCCAGGCCCAAAGTCGATGGATGTTCACTGGTGGTGAAGACCATTCATGCAGAGTCTATGAGATGCGGGTGAATCAACTTTTTGTCAAAGAGTATTCGAGTAAAGTGAGACATTCCCACTCTTTACTAATTATGCATTTGACCAATATGACGTTTTAACGGATTTTTCCTTTAACTTTTTATTTATTACTTTATTCTCCTGCGCCTTTCCTTTCGCATAGCATCAATTTTTGCCGATCCCTAACAGGACTTTCCAAATAGCTTTTTTCAAGCCTCTCACCTCTTTCGGTCCTCCATCCGCTGCTTCTTTGTTCATCCAGAATGCCGTTCTTCTCTTTTTAGAATTTGGATCCTGTGACTAGTTTTTTGTGCATTCATGGAAACCAGGTTTGAGCTTTTTCATTCGCCGACCAAGCAGGCAAGTTTGTTTTTGCTCGTTTCTACAATTTTTTGGTAGCGTTTTTAGAATTGTATCAACAATTAGTTTACCGCTGTCTCGTTGTCCCGTATGTCTTGTAAAAACCTCAACTTTCCCTCATAATTCGCAATTCATTTTACCCGGTCAGTAGGCTAGTCTGGGATTGCGTTATTCTCGTGTTTTCTTTTTCGTCGTATGGTGTCACATCGCACTATGCCGATGCCTCCGCTTCTTCTTACCAAGAACTTCGTCCACTAATCCTTGCCATACATCCCTCAGCAAATCTCTTCTTCTTTACGTGTTACGAAGAGAACCGGTAACCTAAACTCTTCCATCTCCTGGCTTCCTATAACATTGAAATTGTTCAATTCTATAGGTTACGTGAGGTGTGATCTCAGTAACTGGCGGGATGAATGGGCGCAAAATCTGGGTAAGGGTGTGTCTGAGTATCATAAAGTAAATATAACAGTTCTTCGCCCCTAATCTATGCTCTTTTCGGAGGCTGCGCACAATTCTACTCCCATCAGACATTTTACGGGGAGTCTGGTTGAGATGCGGCGGGGAACGATGTGGCACTCATTCAAATGACCTTGCGAGGCCACGCTGATTACAAGTCAGGCGTTTTTATCCTCTTCGTGTACTAACTTATCCAATCCCTTGGGGTACGAAGGCTAGAATGCTCGTGGCTTTTCATTGCCGTCGGAGTACCCGGGGGGGGAGTGGAAGCAGATCCGGATTTGATTTCTTTACGCTGCTCGTAAGTATCCCACTGTGCCGTGCATGGACTTCTCCGCCCCTGAGGTAATTGTATAAATTGGCTGATAGTGCTGATCTTTATTGTTTTGATTTTAAGACAAGTTTCATTTGCTCACGTGTTTGAAATGGAAGACGATGCTGCTAGATAAAATTCGTCCCGGTTCTCCGCTATTTTTGTTGTGTAGCATGATCGGACTCCGGAAATTGCCAGTGTTTTCCCTATAGTTGAGTCTTACGTGGGCATTAAAACTCCTGGAGGAGGCTTCTGAAGGAATCTCACTATAGAACAGACGCAAACGTGGTCCCACTAGTATTAATGATTTTATGTCAGTCAACCCATCCTGAAGTCTTTTCCCTTTCGAGTCTAGGGAAAGGCCTAATTCCAGTTTCGCGCGAGCAGTACTTTAAATGCCACTCTCTTAGCATATTACTCGTCCATTCCTTTAAACAGGCACTCTGAGGATAAATGTTGTTTTTGCTAGGTAATCATAGTTACGCTGGTTTTTTAGAATTACATTGAGAGGGCAACTGAAACAATTGCGAAGTTAAATCTGAGCGATACAGGCAAGCGGCTGATTCATAAGTCGTACGGACTGAGTTGCAGGTCTGGTTTTTCAGAGAACGGTTTCGTTCATTATCAGGCATCCTTTCTGAATCATCTTACTGTTTTAGGTACTCACCGGATGGTAGAACACTCATCACAACTGGCGCTGATCATACGATCTACATGCTTGACTCGCATGATAGCTCGTTGAAATCGACTATTGACGCAGGATGTGACTGGAATTGGAGCTCAGCGTTCACCTGTGATTCACGGTAATTGTTTGCCCAGTTTCTGCGTAATTTTGGTAATTAGCAGACACTATTAGTGCTCTGATATGCGGAAATCCTTCCCGGACAGGTCTAGTGGGGAAAAAGTAGAGGGAGAAAGTGGGTCGAAGACATTTTGTAGCGTACGTCCGCTGTGTCTCGACGTAATGCGCGATTCCTGAATTCTTATTCTGCTCGCTATGCTTCTCTGGGCGCGATTCGTCTAGGGGAGATGAGGCATTTTGCATTTCTGCTGGTTCACATTGTGTGTCGAGCCATCAAGCAGAGATTCGTGAAATCTTGTGAAGCCATAAGTGACAGTGGTTGAAGTTTCCAGAAAGTACTTGTCACCACTTGTAGAAAATACGTGTCGGCTGTAAATT